CCCATCTTTCAACAAGAACAATCGTCTGTAGTTTGTACTCTACACCTTTCTCATTCTTTAATTGAAGAAGCCCTTTGTTTCGACAACTCTCAAGCTTCACATAATATCATTCTTCCTTCAATTTTAATTCAATCAAAGAGGTCCAGTTATACCTTTAATTCAAAAAGGTAAAATTTCATTCCTATTTTTTTAGTTTATGTTGCTGTATTTGTAGATTTATATAAAATTGAAAATTTGAGATGAAATCATGCATGTGTGTGCTTGTTTACGAAAGCTCATTGTTTGTATTTTAATTTCGTATCTTTCTCATCTATACCCTTCAATGGGTCATTGTCTTATCCTATTATAAATTGCAGAAGCCTAAACAAAGTTTGTTAATTTCTGATTTTATATTCTTTATGTTTTTTGTACTATTCAGATGGAAGATGCAAATAGTCCTATTGAATCTCATGAAATTAATTCCAATTCTCAAGAAGGTCCGTCTGCAGCTGCCAAATCAAATGTCAAACCACCTTCTCGGCCTATCCGGTAGAAGCCTTGCCCTTCGAGGATAAGAAAAAAAGTTTCAAACAAAAAAGTGATTCCACCTAAAGAACAAAAGCCTGAAGGAGCTGGAATTGGGAGCATGCAGAGTGTGGGATCATTTTGAAAGGTTTGAGGAAAATGGGAATCCGAGAACTTCGTGCAATTATTGTAGTCAAGTTTATGCAGCTCACCCCAAATAACATGGCACCGGTAACCTGATAAACCATTTGCAGCTTCAGTGCAAGAAATATCCTTTCAGACTTGTTGACAAGAAACAAAAGACACTTGTTTTAGAGCCTACAAATGGGAATGGTGTTTCATTGCTTACTCTTAAATCTGTAAGTTATAGTTACGAAGATTGTAGGTTGAAATTAGTTGAAATGATTGTTCTTGATGAGCTTCCTTTCAAAATCGTGGAGGGTGAAGGATTTAGAAAGTATTCAGCTTGTTTACAACCTAGATTTATACTTCCAAGTCGAATGACTGTTGCTGGGGATTGCATGAAACTCTATTTTGATGAAAAAAAAACTTAGAAGTCATCTAAAGTCTGAACGTATATGTCTTACGACCGATACATGGACTTCAATTCAGAATATAAACTACATGTGTCTCACAACACATTGGATTGATAAGGAATGGAAGTTGCAAATGAGAATTTTAAGTTTTTGTGTTATCCCTGACCATAAGGGTAAAAGAATTGGTAAAATGATTGAAAATTGTTTTTTAGATTGGGGGATAGATAAAGTATTGACTATCACATTTGATAATGCAAGTCATCATGATGGCACAATTAATTACATGAGGAAGAACACTAAACGGTGGAAAACGACTGTCTTAGATCATGAATTTTTGCATGTTAGATGTTGTGCGCATATTTTGAATCTCATTGTGAAGGACGGTTTAAAAGAACAAAATGATTCAATTCTAAAGATTAGAAATGCCATTAGATATGTGCGCTCATCTCCGGCTAGGCTCCAAACGTTTAAAAAATGTGCAGATATAGAGAAAATTGCTAGCAAAAGTTCAGTTTGTCTTGATATTGAAACTAGATGGAACTCTACTTATATAATGCTAGAAGCGGCTGCCAAGTTTGATAAAGCGTTTGAGAGGCTAAGAGAAGATGACTCAAGCTATCGTATGTACTTTGCTTTGGGTGACAAAGATAATGATGATGGGGACCGAAATCCAAATTTTGGGGAAGAAGAGAGTTGTGAAAGAAGAAAGGTAAAAGATATAAAATACATTGGCCCGCCCGATGAAGATGATTGGAGTATTGCGAGAACTTTTATAAAGTTTTTAAAACTTTTCTATGATGTTAGAGCAAGTCCAACGCAGGCACCAAATGAAGTATTAAATGGCATAACTGCCAATTTGAGGCCTGTAGTATGAATTTATCTTCTCCAACGCAGTAATCATACCCAAACATTTTTTTGATTATTCAGGTGTTGGGGTGTAAAAATACACCCCTCCACTTCAAATGACAAAATTTAAACACCACCCAACCAACACCAACGGTCATATTTTCAGAAGGAAAAAAGGTCCAACGGTCATATTTTCAGGAAGAAAGAAAGAGGTAAAATCTATATAATCTGAACCTACCTTTGAATCATCTCCATCCCAACAAATCACTATTTTGCATTTCTGCTTTCCCCATTTTTGTTCTTCGAATCAAGGTATTGGAAAAAAAAATTGTGGATATACTGAGAAAAAAGAAAGAAATATGAGGGAAAAAGAGGATAGTTCTGCCATGAGTGAAATAAATTAGGCAGGGAGAGGATTTGAGAGAGACCGAATTCTTTTTCTTTTCTTTTCCTTTTTTTGTCTTCTTTTGGAACTAGAGAGATGAAGTGAGAGGGGAGAGAGGCGAATGTTTTAGGGTTAAGAGGGGCATATTTGTTTAGATATATTGGGCTGAGTTGGGTTGGGAAGTGGGATTTTAATAATTAATTTGGGCTTTGGGTTGTTTAGTTAAAATAATTTGTAAGCTTGGGCAAGGGTTGGGCTTATACTTGGTTTGGTTTAATTGTTTTTATTTATGTTTTATGATTTCTAATTATTTTTTTATTTTGTTCATTTGTTTTTGTATTGCAGATGAACTCCGATTACTATGGAAATTTCACCAATCTCCTCAATGAAGACTCACCCTTATATGATGAAAGCTATGATGTGAATCCAACTACACAACATGAAAATATTGTTAGTGCTAGTGCTTCGAGTAGACAAAAAAGATCATTGAATTTTACTTGCGAGGAAGATATTTGTCTTATGTCGGCATGGCTACATACAAGCAAAGATGTTGTTCATGGAAACAAACAAACATCTACTGGATTTTGGAAGAGAATTTATGACGAATTCATAATCAATTGCGGTCAAGGACGACGTAGTGAGCAAAGCATAAAAAATCGTTGGCGAGAAATTAACACCCATTGTGCAAAGTTCATTAGTTATGTTAATCAAATCAACAATAGGAATCAGTATGGTCAAAGAGATCATGTGAGGGTACATGTATTTCCTTCTCTTTTCATATATTTAATATATATCGATATTATTGTTAACATTTGAATATTTTGTGTCATAGGTGGAAGAAGTAAGAGCACTATATTTTGCCAACAATGATAGAAAGCCATTTAAATTTGAACACTGTTTTGATATTCTAAAGCATGAGAAGAAATGTCTTGATACTTCGAAAAAAAATAAGCAAAGAAATACTTCTTCTATCAACCTTAAAGGTACTCAAATATCATCGGAAGATAACAATAGTGAGCATTCGGCCAATAAAGATCGGCCTTTGGGTAAGAAATTGTCCAAGGAATCACAACTCAAGAGAAAACAAGGCATAACGGATGGTGGAAGCTCATCCAGAATGTCACTTACCGATGAGCGTTGGGAAGCAAAGATGGTAATAGAACGCGAAAGATATGATCAACGCGTTGTGAAAAATGCTTCGCCTTTAAACTTATTGGAGCTGGTATTGTCTTAACAAAAGTAGCCCATGAAGGGTAAATACCATCTGCTAGATAATAGCCCATATGATAATTATGTCCATTGACAATAAAATTGACCGGAGGTGCAAGACCGCTGGTCAATGCTGAGAAGACATGAGATCTTTCTAAAACATTAATATCATTGAGCGAGCCTGGCATTCCAAAGAAGGCATGCCATATCCAAAGATCTTGTGAAGCAAACGCCTCCAATATAATAGTCGGTTTACGATAATGACCAGAGTACATACCTTGCCATGCGGATGGACAATTTTTCCATCCCCAGTGCATGCAATCGATACTTCCAAGCATTCCAGGAAATCCACGTTACTCGTTGACTTGGAGCAAATGAGACAAATCATCTTCATTTGGTGCTCTTAATTATTTTTCAGCATAAATGGCAACAATTGCTTTCACAAAATGACGTAAGCTCTCAATAGAAGTGCTTTTACCTATGCGTATGTGGTCATCCAGAAAATCTGCTGGAACTCCATAAGCAAGAATTCTATATCCAGCAATTACCTTTTGAAGAGATGATAAACTGGGGATCCCTACCGCATCTTTGTTTTCGACAAAGTAGGGATCGTATGCTTCAACACCAGAAAGAATTCTACAAAATAGAGGTCTGTGCGTACGAAATCTTCTCCTAAAATAAACACCATGATATACAGGATTATCAGAAAAGTAATCACGATAAATTCTATTATGACCTTCACCTCTATCGCAATTAATGACGCATCTACCAGGAACTGAACCACGACGATGTGTGCGTTGTCTTTCTCTCTCAGCTTCCGGCTCTTCTGTTCCTTCTATGAGCATCTCGAGATCATCAGAATCAGAGTCGGACAAGAAAGTTGTTAAAACACGTTGATTACGATGCATATTGAAATAAAGATGAAGATGATAGAAATTGTGGATAATAAAACCTGTGAACAAATGAGATGTTTAAAATGTTTGATATAGATAGGAAATCCTATCGGATATCTTAACATCGAATCAACATCTAACACGTTGCAATAAAAAATCTTATCGGATATCGTAACATCGAATTATAAACTAACATGTGGATAAAAAAAATTATTATCGAAAATCTTGACATCGAATTATAAGCTGACACGTGGCTATAAAATTTGGTTACCATTTAATTTATTTTAAATAAATTTTTAATGTATATTAAATTAAATGTTTTAATATAATTTAAAGGTAGTTTACATTAAATAGTTGAATTTAAGATTATTTTTTAAATTTGATTATTAATTTGATGTTTGATGGTTGGAGTTGAATTTTTTTAATGAGATACCAAAGTACTGTAGCAGGTACCAAATAGCCATTTGATGCTTCAATTTCGCTTACTAGCCTTGGACTTGCTCTTACTTTGCAATTTTCTGGTACTTTGCATGTAACATCTAATATATTTTTTCAAGAACTTGTTGTTGTCCAAATTAGATTGAAGTCTTTGTCTAAACACCCTGATCCAAAAGTATGTCTTATGGCACTTGAAATGCAGAAAAAAATCAAGAAATATTGGGAAAGTCTTGATAACCTGAATTTTCTTGTTTATTCTGCCACTGTATTGGATCCACGCTATAAATTGAGGTTTGTGAGGTTTTGTCTTAATCAAGTTTATGAGAATAACACTACATCGGCTAATGTTATGGAAGAGCAGGTGAAGAAATTGTTGATTCGCTTGTACGAGTATTATCAAAATTGTTCTCCCTGTCAAAATTCTCAAAGTGGGGCTGCTATATCACGTCAGGCTCCAATTGAAGTGATGGACATGGCTGATGATGTCGAGTCACGTAACTCT